GAAAGAATTAAATTCAACAACAACAAAAACAATCTAAGTCAAAACTAGTCAAATAGACATGTAAATAAACATTTCTTCAAAGGTGACATAAAAATGACCAATAAACAACTGGGCAGATGCTCAACACCATAAATAATTGAGAAATGCAAATCCAAACCACAATGAGATGGTATTTCACACCTAGTATGATGACTATATTAAATTGCTTTTAAAATGGAAAGTAAATGTTGACAACAAGGTAGAGAAATTGGAAAACTCTTATATTCCTGGTGGAATGTAAAATGGTATAATTACTGTAGAAAACAGTTTGATAATTTCTCAAAAGATGAAACATAAAACTACCATATGACTTACTAGTTCTTCTTATAGGTATATATGTAAAAGAACTGAAAGCAAGGACTTCAACAAGTATCTGTATATCAATATTCATAGAAGTGCTATCATTAATAGCCAAAAAGAAGAAACAACTCATGTACCCACGAACAAATGAATGGATAAACAAAATATGTATATACATAATGGAATAGTATTTAAACATAAAAAAGAATCACATTTTGATGTATGCTACAATATGGGTAGACCTCAACAACACTATGCTTATAAAAATAAAGCAGACAGAGAAAGAAAAATATAGTATGAGTCCATTTATATGAGGAAAATTTATAAAGATAGTAAAATAGGGTTTTCCAGAAGCTAGAGGAACAGGGAGAGTTAACACTTAATGGCTACGGAGATTTTGGTGCGGGGCAAATATTGAAACAGTCTTGGATACAGAGGTGACAATTATACAACATTGCAAATATATTAAAAATATTATGTATATTTTACTACAATAAAAAGGAGGCATGAGACATACTTGTTAAATTGCTTTTAGTCACTGAACAGAGACATACTATGACTGTCTAATGCTCAAATTTTGGACCACTTTTCTAATGGGTAGTCATGTACGTTAACAACAATCCAGTTAAATTAACTGAGTTTCAAGGTCAGATTTTACTCCACTGTGAGTGTTTTATAATTTTCAAAGACTCTCACTCATTTTAACAAATTTAAATTTCACATCCATATTGAGCAATGGACAAATCATGACATTTTTTAGATGATAAAAAGTGAGGTTCAGCAAAGTTATATGACATGTTCAAAAATACAAATGAAATAAAATAATCCATGTGAAATATTTAGAACCAGTATTTGACATAGTCATCATTCAGAAAGCCAGTAATCATCCAGTAAGCTGTTATCACATGGAAGCCAGTGAGTACGTACAGTATCCAGAAGCAAGCAGATATCCTACTCTAGATATCCTACCTCCTACTTCCTAGGATCTCCTAGGAAGCTTCAAGGGTTCTGTCCAGCAGCACAAATTTTAAAAACTCAACTGCAAAAGCAATAGGTCAGTTCTACCATCTTTGGCACAAAGGAGGCTATTCATGGTTTGTATTTTTCAGGCAAGCTGACCTTGATCTGATATACACATTGGCAACAGTGAAAGAAGCTTTATCTTTTAATTTTCTCAGACATTGATGCTCAAATGTGTTTATCTTATCCCCGATTGGTGCATCTCTCAGTATCACAATGTGAAAGAGCAAAGCAACGAATAGTCTATGGTTTATATTCTGGGCCCTGATGATGAGTTCATGTCTACAGGGATGGCTCTTATTACACAATGAATATAAGGATAAAAATTTAGAAATTAAAGCTCAATAAAGATCTTTCAAGAGAGACCAATATGAAATGCCATGCCTTCAGGCAGCATGCTGCCTCAGCAAGGCACAAAGGTAGAAGAGTTTTCTTGATTATCACTGCACACTGGGACCCTAAAATTCTGTGCTATGGGTCACATTATCTGTAGGGAAGGAAGTGAAGGTGCCCCAAATGTACTTGTTTACAATGTCCTACCCTAGGATCAGAAATCACCAACTTACTAAATAGCAAATGTCATCTCAAAGCACTCCTTGCTCTTGGAAATCAAGACAATTATTCAATCAGCTGAATCCATTTATTCCCTGTAGAATTATGTAAAATTCTGGGAAAGTGAGAAAGGAGCAAAAAAGACAGAGAAAGAGAGAGAGAGAGAGAGAGAGAGAGAGATTTAAATTTATGTGGACCAACATAGCACTTGATCATCCCTTTGCTTAAGAGGCCAAAATATAAATTTATGTCACTATTTCTAGGCTTTTATATATGGGACAGAGCTGCCCTCTTTAAAACTTTAAAGTTTAGTCTCTGTCTCATATCTATTTGAAAACAAGTCATCACAGCTTGGTTTGAGGCAAAAAATGTTTGCTTGTTCCCACTCCAGTCCAATAGTTGTCTCCTCCCCTCCTCGTGTGAATAAAAGAACTGCAGAAGACTAAATCTCCTGAGCTTTAAATTTTAATGTAAGAACGTATACTTTGATCATTTTAAATATAATTGCTATATACAATAAAGCATAAAGTAAGCAAAATATTAAAGGATGTAGAGTTCTGATTAAACCCTTTGATATAACTTAGGGTTTACTAGAAAATGCCTTTTTACTAGCCTTGCCTATGATGAAGAGTTCTTGTACACATCGAAAGCCATTGTTCTGCCTTACTCAATGGGTTTAGCCAGCATAATCAAACACAGAATCCTATCCCAAGACACCACTCTGAGGAGCACTTTGTTCAGTGCAACTTCCAACTCCTGCACAGTATCTTTCCAGGCTCTACAGTCTTCTCAGTTACAGATTGCAATATCATCGAAACTGTTTAAGAAGACTTGTTAAAATGGTATAAATTCATTGAATAAATAAGAATATCTTCTCCATGAAAAATGGCACCACTGTCTTAACAAAATTGGTTATAAGACATCTACAGATGGCAAAAATCTGGCTCACGTCTGATTTTGAAATGTGGGAATTTTAACTTTACCATTAAAATCAAACAGACAGCTTCAACATATACTTTACTTAAAAGATTTCCAGGACTGGTACAGGGAACGGGCGCAACTCAAATGTAGGCAAAAACAACGTAGTTTATATCATGTTCCAAAGAAAATCGAGGTGATAAAATAATTCAGAATTCATGGATATTAGTGAAAGACAAAAACCTTTGACAAAATAAAATTCCATCACTAATATAAATGCCGATTTCACCGTTATGTACTCTGCTATAACATATTTGCTATAATATATTTGCTATAGAAAAATGAATCTTGAATTTGTTTTTTCCATACCAGGTATCAAACTCAGGACCTTGTGCTTGCAAGGCAGGCACGGTGCTTCTGAGCTAAATCCCCAGCCCAGAACAATGAATTTTTAACTCTTTGAATATTACAATTTTCTTTCACTGGTATCCAAAAACTTTTTGGGAATACAGATTGTGTGTTTTTTATCCAAGTTGTTTGGGGCCAGAAGTATTTCTGATTGGGTTTTTTTCTTCGCTAGACTTTGGGACATTTGTATAGATTTTACCGGTTGAAAATTCCTAATCTCAAAAATCCAACATCAGAAATGCTTCAAAATTTGAAACTTGAGGGCCAGGGATTTAGCTCAGTGGTTCCGCTGCCTGCCTTGCAAGCACAAGGTGCCAAGTTCAATCCCCAGCCTCCCCTCCCCCCGGAAAAAAAAATAAAAAAACTTGAGTGTCACCTTGGCAACTAAAAGGTTTCAGATTTCAGGGTACTTTGGATTTTCACATCAGGTTTACTCAAACTGTATTAGCATTTACTCATCTGTATTTGAAAACTTTTTCAGTCTGCCCTTGAATTAGCCAATCCCAGTGCTGGGCATGTAGCTCAATGGTAGAGCCCTTGCATAGCATACTGAGAGGCTCTGGATTCCACTCTCTGCATGACAAAGGGGAAAAAGTCAATCTCCTAACGTGTATTTCTTGATAAAATTTGCTGCAGGCATGCTACCTTTTCTTTACAAGGAAGAGGGTTTTCTACCAAATGCAAAATAGTAATCAATGATAGTAACAAGACAACAAAAATAGATGTTAAAACTCACCAGCTTTGTTTTTATGCTAGAATTTAATAAGCTGTTTTTACTCCAAATTTGAGTAAAGTGTATTGTATTTTACTGCTGAAAGCATATTAAAATGCCTTTGTTCACTTTAGCCACATATATAAAAAACAGCTGCACTTAGATTTGTTGTACTCAGATTTGGTGGTTAATATAATCAGGTTAATATATTAAAAAGGACTTGACACAGAAATTATTAATGAGTAGAACAAGGTCAGTACTTCTGAGCTGAGGTCACTTACAAAGAATGCACAAATGAAATTAAGGTTGACTTTTATTTACTTGACTATCTTCTTACATTGGATTCCTTTGGCAACATATCTTTAAACATTTAAAGCCCTATTTACAAGGAGGTTCTGAAAGAAGCTTCAAACCATTATGCACTTAATTGAATTCCCCAGGAGTCCAGTAAACTCAGAGGAATAAAGAAAAATCATAACATTTGCTAAATCATCTCAAAACATATTTCACTGCAAGGTTATATGATTTGTTTTTTTTAAGGTTCAAAGATGAATAAAAATATTACTGAACACTTTATTATTTAGACTAAAATCATAAAGAATTTTACCTATTAATGGTAAGTTAATTAAATCATCCCAGTTTCAACTTTTTTCCCATGGGAAATCTGTCAACAAACAATAACAACATTTTATATTGTACGGGACCAGTTTCCCAGAGTATAAAAGCTCTCAGGAGGAAAAAAGATCATTAACCAAAGACAATTATTTACTGTGAGGTATGAGAGAGAACTGATAAAAAATTTGTAGTCACCAGGAAAAGTAGAATTTTGTCTGTGAATTCAGAACAGATAAAATGGAAAAAGAGAAAGTAAAAGTTTTAGCAAACAATTAATTTATTACAATGCTTCTTCCCACTTCTAATTTTACTTTAAAATATGCTTTGATGATCTCTTTATTCATAGTTCCCGTGTCCTCCTGCTTGTTATGACTACTGAACAAAATCATGTGGATCTGAACATTTCCAAAAGAATGTGAAATCTCTCTCTACTTACCTGGTTTGTATGTTATTCCAGGGGGGAAGAGGAATCCCTGTTGGGCAGCAGCAGCTGCTGCCAGGGTCCGCTGGTCATGTGGAAAAATTGGGATCATGAGCGGAGGCATGTGACCCTGAACCTGCTAAACAGAAGAGAGCCTATGATCAGACAGAGAGCAAATGCTTGCCAAGAAGTATTTGTTTTTCACTCCTGGTGGTATGCTGGTACCCACACAGTCACCCACCCCTCACCTCCTTCCAGATCTGCAAGCTGAGAAAATTCAGGAAAAATCCTCCAAATCCCTCTCCTTAGATGTCATTAGCATACCAAGGACATAACTTCATTGTAAATTTGCCTCATCCTTGCTTCTACCAGATGGTTGCTAATGGTTTTCTTTTCTCCTGATTTATTTTCCCTTTATTTTTTTCTTCTAAACAAAGAATGAAAAGAAATAAAAGTTTGCTGCTTTTCTCACAGTACAGTATCGAGACGTTTTGCCCTTTCACCTGCTTTATATTTCATGCTTTATTCTGAGAACAGTATTTAGTAATCTTGGTCAGAAAATAACATCTAATTGTCATATATTCCAAAAGCTGTATCTCCCCTGTTAGGGTATCTTATTTCAAAGCCTCACTCTATTACATGAAGCATATAGCTCTTCAGATTTAAGGCTACTACATCTTGGCTCCCAATTAAACTAATATTCTTTGCCATACACACCTTGACACAACATATAAATTGCTTGTCTGGCTAAGCAGTTTTATAGCTTTATGCACTACCATGTAGCTCAGTAATTATGGAGTTGTATTCAGAGAGCATTTCATAATAAATCCTACTATATCAAATTTCATTTGACCTCAATAAATGTATCAAAGAGCACAAAAATGCAAAATGGAAAATCTTCACTCTATATCAGTATTTGTATTCCATATAAAGAAAATAAGAGCTATGACAGAATCATGCTTGTGAAAATTACATTTTAATTTCCTAGCTCCCTTCTTTACTCTATGATTATTGCTTGACTCCAGGATAGCATGACAAGAAGGTTTTGTCCTGGCATTTAGGACACAGTTTTATAGGTTGAACTACAGTACTTTTCTCATTTAAAGATCAAAACTAAGATGCATCAAAAGAAGTGATTGTTCAGTGCAGTTAGAGCCTTTGACATGAAAGGGCTATATTATAACCTATTTAAGATATAAACCTTTATTCCCAAACCCTTCCCCTGCCGAAATTCCTAAATCTTCTCTTTTGGCATAATTCCAAATACTACCTGATGACCCTGTTTAAATAGCACCAACTTGCCTTGTCCTGTCCCTGTTCCCACTGCAGCCAGGGACACATTGCAAAAATGCTTCTGTGTGGGTCTAAGAGGTTTCATTACCAAGAGTTTTTCTCTAGGGACAGCCCTCAGATGTGGGTTAATAAAGGGCAAGCAAAAAAATAAACACTTTACAGTATTTTTCTAAATTCATTTCTCAGGAAAATCAACTTATAATAAAAAGGTCTTTGTGCAATTACTACCTTGCCAGTGGGGCGTGAAAGAAACTAGCTTTGAGCAGCTATTTCTTCCATTTTAGCTGAGGTAAGCCCAAGTTTTGTCCATTAGAGTACAAACTTAGCCTGCTTAAATTGGAGCCGATCCCCTAGTGCCCAGGTCTTGCCCTTAACCCTGGAGAAAAGCACTGGGCTTACTGTTCAACTGCAGCTTGCTGTGACCTGATACAACCTGAGATGTCAAAGACAATGGCACTGTTCTATACCAGAAAATAAGACACAGTATCTTTATGGGTGACCACTGGTTAATGCAAGAGCACACCCAAGGAAATTATTTCATTGTGCTCTAGAAATAAGGTCCTAGCACGTACTGAGGATGTAGTGCAGATGCTTCATACTCTAGAAAAGAGGAACAAGGAAGTGAGTCTGAATATCATATTTTTATTCTTTCCTTCTTTCATTTAATAAACGTTTATTAAGTTGCTGTTATCTGTCAGAGATCTTGGGAAGTAGCTCAAAAAAATTGAGGATGATTCGGCTTGGGAAAAAGATGGTATCAGGTTACCTTCAAATATTTGAGCAGATGATTTGTAAAAGAAGGATCAGATTAAGACTGACTATATTAGAGTAGAGAACTAGGGTCAAAAATAAAGAAATTTTAGGGTAGTTTAATACAAAGAAGAATTTTCTAATAATTAGTTATTCAACAGTCATTTTAATTAATGAGAGTGTGTCTTTCCCTCAAAGTGGTCAAGTAAACCTGTACACCTCTGTGTATAAGACATGTTTTAAATATGATAGATAACTACAAATTAGGTAATAAACTGTAGAGCCTTTTCAACTGTATAATTCTATGATGGTTTAAGGGTCAACATCAGATAGTGTAATACCAGTCATTCCTTCATTTAATCATTTCACACGTATTTATTGAGAACTCATGATGTCTTCACTTACAAACAAACCTGACAAAAATCTATATACTAGCATTCCCTTGGCCATGTGATCCTCAACAGCTATTTAACCATTCTGATCCTATTCTCCTTGCAAAACCTACTAATTAAACTACCTACATAGTCATTATAAAGATTAAGTAAGTAAAGCTGTAGCATAGTGCCTGACATAATAGTAATGTCACAGTAAATGCTATGTCTTTGCTTTTTTCCTAGTTTGTATATGCAGTACCAGAAAATTATCCATTGCTGATTTTTAAAAAAGAGTGGATCTTACCCATAACTCTACTTCAAGAAAACATGAGCTAACTAAATAATTCATTTTGGCAGGCAGAGGCTTGCCATGTTCTTAGCAGACACCATGCCTCACACTATCCTATCCCCAGTATCTAGAAAACTATGGAAAAAGAAGAGGTGGGATTAAAGGATAGTTAGAATATGTAATTTGGGCTTTTCAGTGTTATTCATTAAATAGCATCTTAAAATGAAAAATAAATTTATTTTTACTTTGGTTGCCAAAACTCTTTGGGTGATAAAACAATGTAGGATGATAAATGGCAATTATGAACCAGATATTAAATTTTTCAATCTGGATGTCTTCCTGAAATATTTCCTTTATAATTGTACATTTCCATGAGATAACTAAGTTAACTGTCTAGGGTCATTTTAATGTCAAAGAGCTACAGGTATTTCATAATAACAAACAGTAAGATTTTAGGGAGGTTTGTTTTTGCCTATCATACTCTACAAGGCAGGGTATATTAAAAATTTTAGATGCTATTACCCAGAGGTTGTTTCAATAAACTGGGCTACACAAGTGAAAAAGGAGGGGGACAGAAGACATGGTGAAAACAATAGCAATAATAGAATCATCGAGTTGGAACAAGGTTTGTAGATTATCTAACTTAGTGGTTCTCAAAGTGTAGTGCCTGATCAGCAGCCTTCACAACCATAGGAACTTATATGAAAGGCAAATTATCGGGCTGCACACCATATGTAGCAGCATTGGGTCCAAGAATCCAGATTTTAGTTCAAAATTTAATCTAGAGCAGTGATTTTCAAACTTAATATTTATCAGTGGGTACATGAAAAGAAAAAAAAATAATTTTCTTGGTTCCACCCTCAAAGACTTTGCACAAATCTGAGGTGGATCCCAGAGTACACATTCCTAACAGATTCCCATGAGAAGCTCATCCTGCTGACCCATTCACCATTCTCTGAGAATCGCTAATCTAGCCCCAAACTCAGAATTTGCAAACAGATGGCGAAAGAAGGTAAAAAGTAGAAGCTTCAGTTACAGCACTTGTGACAGAACTGGAACTACAGTCCAGAATTGTAAATTACCATACACAGTGCTTTTCCCTTTGTATCATATGGGCTTTGGTAACAGAAAAGAGAACAATCAATTGTATATATTGTTTTATCACAGAAAACTTACAAATCTCTAGTTAAAATCAATCTGTATATCTGAAGTATATTGTTAGAGGCAGTTAGAGTTGAATATTGACCAATTTTAAATACAATCCTTCCTTCCTTTCTCTTATTTTTACCCAGAGCATACCTATTTTTCAATACCCACTGTCATTAATTCTAGTAGCTTATTAAAATACCTTCATTGACAATGATAATTTAATTCCAAATGATTAAATAGTCCTTAATGTATTTGAAATCAAACAATAATGTGAAAAGTCAAAATGCCCTTTATTAAAAACAAGCCTAAATATCCAGCAGCAAGTTAGAATCTAGCCTGAATGCAAATGCTGGAAAGCTCCTCTTTTAGCTCTAATTACAGAAAGCCAGAAGAGCAGTAACGGTGATAAGTATAACCACCACAGCTAATATTTTTAATTGTTTCCTATATGATCAGCACTGGAATATCTCAAAACATCATGAAATACTTTCTGAAAAATAAAAAAATTCATGGGGCCGGGGATTTAGCTCAGCGGTTCAGTGGCCTGCCTTGCAAGTGCAAGGACCCAAGTTCAATCCCCAGTACCAATAAATAAATAATAAAAATTCATTTAGTAAGAAGGACAAAGCCATAAGAAGTTAAGTAACTTCATCAACTAAGAAGTTGTGGGTTCCATATTGAAGTCAAGATCAGGGCCAAAGTCTGTAGTTTGTCAGGGTCAAAGTTTATATTTTTAAGCACCATATTATATTGGGCACAAAAATATCTTTTGCTAGATGTAATTGATATAAGGAATGCAATTCTTAGCAATAACAATTATTTGACTTAGACTTTTATAAATAAAACTGTAGATTTATATGCAGTCATAATAAATAGTACATTGAGATCCCACACACTATTCACCCAGTTTCCCCCGTGGTAACACCTCGCAAAACTATACTACAATATCACAACCAGAATATCGACATTGATATGATCCAGTGTTGCCCCAGTGTATTAAAGAGATTATGTCCTAAAAAATTAGCAAGGATAATGAGGGACCCACCTACTGTCTACCATGAAATGCCCAGTTATAAGTTTTAATGCGAGTGACATGAGTGGAAAGTATGAATTAAAACTATTTCCATCATGACTTTGGTTTTACTGTGCTTACTAGAAGACTATTGGTCAAATGTGGGACAGAAATAGAAAGTGAAATCTAGGTGAAAAAAGATGAAGAAAGAGGGCTTGGTGTCCATACAAGATTCACAGAAACATCCAAAATATTTCCCTCTTATTGAAGTG